GTTGGAATTCCGACTGAAACTTTTCCCACAATCAGGACATTCAAAGGATTTCTCTCCTGTGTGAGTCCTCTGGTGTATCATCAGGCTTGAACTGTGACTGAAACTTTTACAACAATAGGAGCATTCAAAGGGTTTCTCTCCTGTGTGAGTCCTCTGGTGTGTCACCAGGTTGGAATTGTAGTTGAAACTTTTACCAAAATCAGAACATTCAAAGGGTTTCTCTCCTGTGTGAGTTCTCTGGTGTCTCACCAGGCTGGAATTCCAACTGAAACTTTTCCCGCAATCAGGACATTCAAAGGGTTTCTCTCCTTTGTGAGTTCTCTGGTGTATCATCAGGCTAGAACTGTGACTGAAACTTTTACGACAATAGGAGCATTCAAAGGGTTTCTCTCCTGTGTGAGTCCTCTGGTGTTTCACCAGGCTGAAATTGTGAATGAAACTTTTCCCACAATCAGGACACTCAAAGGGTTTCTCTCCTGTATGAATCCTCTGGTGACCAATGAGGTTGGAATTCTGACTGAAACTTTTCCCACAATCAGGACATTCAAAAGGTTTCTCTCCTGTGTGAGTCCTCTGGTGTATCACCAGGCTAGAATTGTGACTGAAACTTTTCCCACAAACAGGACATTCAAAAGGTTTCTCCCCTGTGTGAGTTCTCTGGTGTGAAACGAGGTGAGAATTTCGACTGAAGCTATTCCCACAGTCAGGACATTCAAAAGGTTTCTCTCCTGAGTGAGTTCTCTGGTGTCTCACGAGGCTGGAATTATCACAGAAACATTTCTCACAATCAGGACATGCAAACAGTTTTTCCTTGGTGTGAGTCCACGTTGCCATACTCGCTAAAACATTTACCCCATTGGGAGCACGTGTAGGTCTTCTCTCCTGTGTGGTTCCTTCCATGAACCACAATGGAGTTGTTCTGATCAACGGTTTTGCCACATTCAGAATATTTGTACGGCTTTTCTCCAGTCTGGATCCTCTCAGGCATAATCAGCTGTGATTTGCAAGTTGTATCTTCCCCACAACAGGCATGTCTATGGAACTTTTCCACAACTAATATTCTTGAGAAAGTAAAAAATATGGATGATCCCTTGTTTAGTTGTGCTTTGATTCAAGCCATTTTCTTCCTCCCAGAGGTAGGCCTGAAATACTGTCTGCTCTACGAGACTTTCCACTTGACCATTTCCTCCCCAGTAACTTCCAGATATTTCTCTCTTTTGCTGAATGGAAAAATAATCTCCCTTGACTTTTCATGTAACATATGCTTGAATTTCACACTCTACTTTTCCCAGCTACAAATCTCTTCTTGATTTTCTCTCGTTTTTCTCTCACCTGATGAAGAAGGTGAAGAATTGTGTAGCTCTCTGAAGGAAATGGAAAATATTTTGATTTCTGGACTGACTTGCTTTGCTTTAATGTTGCTTGTTCTCCTCAGTTGTCAGAGTGCTCTTATTGCCTTCCTCTTTGTCTATAAGATTCAAATAAAAGGGTATCTTTAATTCTGCATGAAATGGTTGCAGAAGATGAGGAAAAAAAGAAAAAAGTTTACATTACAATGAAAAAGCAAGCATGCCACAATGCTCCAATAAGCTCTTACATTAATCATGATTCATTTGACACATCTAAGACTACCCAGATCCAAGTTCGAATATCCGTTCAATGACGAAATTCACTTGTTGACTGGAGCAAATTCTTAACAGTGCAAAGGGTTCTTTTCAAATACAGTCAATTGAAAAAGAAACTACTTCCCCTTTGATTTCTATAATTTTACTTATCAGGGTGTTATAAATATCATCGCAACAGAACAGAAGAATATAACAGAATTGGAAGGGACTTTGCAGGTCTTCTAATTCAACCCTTTGCTCAAGCAGGAGATTCTATACCATTTCACACAAATGGCGCTTTCATCTCTTCTGAAAAGCCGCCAGTGATGGAGCACCACAACTTCTGTAGGCAAGCCATTCTACTGGTTACTTGTTCTCACCATTAGGAAATTTCTCACTGCTTCCATAGTATAAAGGGGCAAAGTAGCAGCCAAGTATTGCTAATAAAATGCCCTTGATCAATTGATCATCAGCAAGTATGACTACATCTGTAAAAGCCAAAGTTGTAGGAATTTGCTTGTCTCCAGCATTGAGTTGTGCGTTAACACAATGCCAAAGAATAAAGATATCAGCAATGATCTTAGAGAAAGAATTGTTGCTCTCCATCAATTTGGGAAGGTTTAAAAGGCCATTTTAAAACAACTTAAAACCCATCATTCTACAGTGGGCAAGATTATTCACAAGTGGGAAAAATTCAGGACAGTGGCTGATCTTCCCAGGAGTGGACGTTCAAGAAAATTCAAGAAAGGTTAGATGGTGCAATGGCTAGAGAAATTGTAAAGAGTTCTCTCTCAGACTCTACAGTAGGCCTGTCAAACTCATGGCCTGCACAGATGGGTCATGTGCTGGCCACCTCCACCTCCGGTTAAGAGAAGGGGGAAAAGGTTGTGATATGACACATGATCATGCCATGATGGTGCAAGTTTGATACCCCTGCTCTACAAACTTCAATTAGCATGTTAAATGTTAAGATTCATGACAGCGCAATTAGAAAAAGACTGAACTGTTCATTTGGAAGGGTTGCCAGGGGAAAGCCTCTTCTCTGAAAAGGTCATAGAAGCACAGCTGAAGTTTGCAAAGGTGCACCTGAACAAATCACAGGACTTCTGGAACACTTGTCCTTTGCACAAACCAGAACAAAGTGGAGATGTCTGGCCATACTACAATTGGGCCAGAGGCCATCTGTCCAAAAGCTAAAGCTTGGCTGATTTAGGATTATGCAACAGGAAAATGGTTGCAAAACACATCAGCAACTGAAGCAATGTTGTAAAAAAGAGTGAGCCAAATTTCCTCCACAACGCTGCAAAAGACAGATAAAGTCACATAGAAACGAACTACTTCTAACAACTTCTACATTTTGGCTTTCTTTTTATAAAATAAACAATGATCTAATGTAATGTCAGGTATTGTTCTTCATCTGTGGTTGTATTTACCTACTTTTGAGAACTTCTAAGGACCAAATGATTATTACTATGTTCTGATATGTAAAAATCATAAAAGTCAAGGAAAGTATACTTTCTTTTTCACATGACTGCTTATCTGGTAGTCCTGGGGAGAGAGTATACGTTTGGAGATATGTACATTCAGAGAGAAATAAAAATACACACACCTACAATATGGAGAAAACCCATGTCGTTGAGGCCTGAAAAAGATGATTACATTCAAACCTTCTGCACTAAAGTTAATCAGGAATCTGTTGGATTTGATGATTGCTCATCTGTTGAGACGGCAAGGCTGACGGAGTCTCCACAACCTCTGGAGGGGAGCCATTCCCAAAGGATCCACCTTCGCTTGAAAGAGGCTTTTGAGATCTTCCCCCCAGCAGAAAATTGCAGCCACCAGTTTCACAGCGTGCAGCCCCAGCGAGCTCCGATCTGGGGAGGGAAGGAACCTGCAGCTGACACGCTTCAGCCCAGTTGCTTCTCTGCTTCCACGCCGTGGAGGGAACCGAACAGCCCGACTCGCTTCCGGACTCTCCTCCCACCTGCTGCCCCCAACTCACCCGCCAGCTGCTGCTTCGATCCCTGGAAAAGCACAGAAGCCGCTCTGCCCACCGTCTTCCTCCCATGAGTCATCCGGAAGAGGAAGTTCCTCTGCGCTTCTCCTTTCCTCCCAACATTTCTAGCATTGCAATACTCTATGGTTTGAAACCCATTTTTTTTAAGCTCACGCACGAATGGCACTAATGTATTGATGTCTTTCTAGGCACAGGTGTTGCCTGAGTGCCATCTAGCGACAGGAGGTGGAAAAACGCGATTGTCCAATGTCCACCATGGCATTTGGAAGATGTTTTCACTGATTATATGGCAGCAGATGGTTTTCGACCCCTAGCAACTGAGCTTTGCAACTGAGCCCCGTGAAAAAGTAAAACGTGCCGCTACTTACCTTCATTTTTGGTGTCTTTGGGTCACTTGATGCCAGGCCTTGCAGTTTCCTTGGCAACGGTTTTTGGAAGTGGCTCCCCCCCCCCACTTTTCCTGCTTCCTAGGCCTGAGAGGACTGGCCAAAGTTGAACAGCTGGTTTTGCCTTTCAGGTGGGATTGGAACTGAGCATTTCTCTGTCTCTAACCTGCTGCCTTCACCACTAAACCAAAGTGGCTCTTCTTCCTCCCCACAAAATAAACCCATTGACCTGTTGCTGCTGCTCCGACATCCAATTCAAGGCTGCAGCTTTCAAGAATCAATCAATCAGGATAGAGCTGGAAGGGACCATGGGGGTCTTCTGTTCCATCCTGCTCAAGCAGGAGATTCTATACCATTTCAGACAAATAACTATCCAGTCTCTTTTTAAAAACCTCCAGTGATGATGCACCCACAACCTCTGAAGGCACTTATTGTCAGGAAGCTTCGCCTTAATTCCAGGTTGCTTCTGTCCTTCGTTAATTTCGATCCATTGTTCTGACCAACTCCTCTATGTGGCAGCCACTCAAATACTGGGATACTGCTGCCATGCCTCCCCTTGTACTTTTCATAAGACTAGACGAGGGATGTCAAACTCAAGGGCCGGGTCCCGGATGGGGCCTGTGGGATGCTTAGATCTGGCCCACGGGTCTGCTCTGGAAACAACAAATGACTGGCCCACGGTGCCTCTACCAGTGAAAACAGAACTCAGGAGGGCCACATGCAGCCCTTCCTCGCTCAGTTTTCCCTGGCAGAGGGTTGCAGGAGACCATCGCAGCCAAAATCGGAGCTTGGGAGCCCATTTTCTCTGGCAGAGTGCTCGGGCCACCACAGACACCCCGACATGAACGACGTCGAGTTGGCCACACCTAACCTGGCCATGCCCACACCACACCACACCCCCCAGGGTTAAACACAGCCCTGACCTGGCCCTCAATGAAATTGAGTTTGACACCCCTGGATTAGACATACCCAATTCCTGTAACCGTTCTTTGTTTTAGCTTCCGTTCCCCTAATCATCTGTGTTGCCCTTCTCTGCATGTTTTCCAGAGTCTCAATATCTTTTTATATTGTAGTGGCTAGAATTTGATGCAGTATTCCAAGTGTTTGTAAAGCAGTACTATTGGATGCAGTATTCCAGGTAAGGCTTTGTAAAGAGGTACCATAACTTCATGTGATCTTCATTCTATCTATTAATGCAGCCTAGGATTGTATAGTTATTTTGGCTGCTGCCACTCACCTTTGGCTCACATTTAAGTGTTTGTCCACGAGGACTCCAAGATACCTTGCAGAGTTACTGGCATTAAACCAGGTTTCATCTAGTTTGCACCTATACAATGGGTATTTCTGGTCTAAGTGTAAAACTTTTTTTAAATCTGTGTTGAATATCAGATAGGGGCCATTGTTCAAGTTCACATTTTTCTAGCTTGCCAAGAAGTAGGTTGTGATCTACTTTATCAAATGCTTGACTGAAATCTTACTATGTGCACAGCATTTCTCTGGTCCACTCATTGAGTCACTTTGTCAAAGAATAAAATAAGATTTGTTTGGCATGATCTGTTGGCTACTGAGATGTCTTTGTCTGAGATGCCCCTGAACCCAATAGTTGTGTATAGACTTCTTACAGTCTTGTTATAAATAAACATTAAGAAGCTGAATTGGGCCTGCATGGGCACAGGAGGAAAAATCAGACAGACATTTCTGGATCAGTGGGTCAAAATGTTTATATTCCTTGACCATATCTCACAGATTGCATAGTTGCCCTGCTGAACTGGTAGGCGGGGATAAATAATGATTATCAAAAATATTCCAACATCTTGCTGTACTCTATAGGATGCCTGCCTGTTCTATATCTTTTTAATGTAGTGGTCCAACAGTATATATGCTGCGGTTCTGCTTTAGGTCAGGGCTGCTCAGAAAGCTCCCAATGTTTTGCTGGAATCCATTGTGCACAGTGATTGTTTGCATGCTTAATACAGTATATGTTGAATCTTCCAAGCGTTTGGTTGGTTTAGGTGAAGCATGTTTTGGCCACAATATTCCCTTTATGCTACTTTTTACCTCTCTTCTCCCCCATTGACAGCCAGGAAGTAGTCAGGTTGCTCTTCATGAGATGGTGTGTGTATGTGTGCGCACGGGTGCAAGTGAGAAAACACACTGAAGAAGGAAATGACAGTTGTGTGTGTTGCGTTCAAGAACCCTATAATGACTAATTCTTTAAATCACCAGGCATTGGGTACCATTCCAAAGACTTGAGTAAACTTTTTCTGCAGCATACTTGATGTCCTTCCTTCTTGCTTGTTGTTCTGGGAAGCTCCCACCATCAACAGTGTTTCCTCAGAGAAGTCACAGACCTGCTACAGGGAATGTACAGCCACAGGAAGAGGGAGGCAACTTTTGACTCCCCTCCGAGGAGCTTGGTGGGTCCTTACAAACTACAGTGTATGTCTGGGTGTGCTCCTGTTGTACATCTGCTGTGGGGTATGAGATCCCTGGGCAGCAAGGAATGAAAAACAGGTTGGTCCCATCTCATTCCCTGGGATCCCACCTGGCCCAAGGAGCCCTTAGGTGGGACTCAACCATGAGGATCTGGTTACTGCTTGCTATCTATGCACGGAGAAAATCTCCCTGTTCCTCTGCACAGATATGAGTAACATGGAAGGGAAATGTTGGACTGGATTTCTCTGAGGAATGGGATTCAGGCCAGGATCCGTTTCCAAGGAAGTTTTTATTCTGGTCAACTGAGCAGAGGTAATTTCCATATACGGTAAGAATGTGTGATGGCAATTTCTCAACAGAGAAAAGGGCGGAAGGTACAATTATATTATGTTTCTTTTTTTCAATTCCTTTCCTGCTTCTTTGTTTCCATTCTTTGTTTTTGTTTGATTTATATATTTTATTAGATTAAAAATTTCTAATTAAAAAAAGGAATGTGTATCAAACAAAGACTGGTACATTTTTGCATGCACATTTGTATTACCAACTTTTCCAACCCTTTGAAATGCCTTTTAGAAACATTTCTCTCACTGTATACAGTCAGTCAGATCCTCTTCCCAAGCCCCCCTTTTCTAGCTCTGCTGGGTCTCTGACTTCTTTGCTTTGACCCAATGGAGACTTCTGTGTATGCAAAGTTACAGAAGCACAAGGGATTTAGCATGGGTGTGCTTGGAAGCATCTCTGGGCAGCACAAATGAAGCTGGCTCCCTTTGAACCTCCTGGATCCTAAATCCTTGGCAAACATAGGAAATCAGTCATAAAGTTTTGGGAGGTAGAGGTTTTGATCTCCACTGAGTCACCCCTAAGAATCTATACATCAGCTTTCTGCAAACAGGTGCCCTCCAAGTCTTTTGCCCAAACTGCTTGGAAACAATAAATCTAACTCTTGTGGAGATTGGGAAGGCTGCTCAGAGCAATTCTTCCCTCTAGTGAGATTTAGGCTCTGCAAGGATGCAGTTAGAAAGAATATCACCTATCTAGATGTACTTTGGAAGATAGATGTTTCCAGCTGTTCTTCCATGTTTCATTATTTCTTTTGATAGGATGAAGCTGGAAATCATTTAGTTTACACAAACAAGACGTTCTTAAACGTTTATGGCACAGCATCTCCCTAATCTTAGAAGCTAAGTAAGTCAAGCTTCATTCTTCAAACTTTGCTCAGTTGCAAAGGTTTTGGGGAGTTATCCTGCACTCCCACTCCATGCAGTTTCCTTCTAAGATTTTTTGAAAGCAGATTTCCCCTTTCCAAGGCCTAAGAGGACAGGCCAGGCCAAGGTCTCTGTGATGGCTTTGTGCCTAGAGCAGGACCGGAAATGAGGGTCTCTCAGGCTCTAGGCTAGTGACCACCAAATTGGGCCTTCTTCTTCCCCACAAAATCTAGCTATTCAGCTGTTCCTGCTACTCCAGCCCCAAATTCAAGGCTGCAACTTTCAAGATCCAGTATCCTCCAAACAACACATACTTTACACCATTCAATGTGAGCTTCAAATTTTGATTCTGAGGAAATGGACTGTTCGTCTGAGTGAGATGGCTTTTGACCTCGCCCTGTAGACCATCCCCTCTGTCTCTTAGGTTGGCTTTATTTAATTTTGCTTGATTATCTACTGTACACTTTTTTTCTCACAACTCCCCACCAAGGGGGAGAACCACAAAAGTATCAGTCCCTTGAGCTGGTCTTAGGCCTCAGCTGTCAAAGGCTAACAAGGAGGCCCCTAAAAACAAATGAGATCACAGTGGGACAGGTGAATAAACCTGGAGATCCTGTGCACAAAACCACAATCCCTTTTCTCCTCAACTCAATATTCCTGCAGCTTTTCTCTATGAAGGCCACCTGCAGGGAAGAACAGCCTTTACATCTGAAATTTTACACTGGTTTTGTCACTGCCCCAACCTCCCCCAATATATCTGCTATTCATATGATTTCTTCCACTTGCGTGCCTCATTCTTGACACAATCTGAACAGGCATGCTTGGTGCACTGTTAGGAAAAGACGGACTTTGAACACCCTCTACTTCTCCTCTCACTTTTCTCCTTATAAGAGCCATAGTGGCGCAATAGTTACAATGCAGTACTGCAGGCTACTTCTGCTGACTGCTGTCTGCCTGCAGTTTGGCAGCTCAATTCCCACCGGCTCAACTTGGCTTTCAGTAAAATGAGCTCGTTAAATTGAGGACCCAGATTGTTGGGGGCAATATGCTGACTATGTAAACTGCTTAGAGAGGGCGATAAAGTACTGTGAAGCAGTATATAAGTCGAAGTGCTATTGCGCTATATGAAGGAATGCTATATGAGGAGCCACAATCTCCAACTATAGTCTGAGTGCTCCTATCCCAAACAGATGCTGGCTGGAGAATTCTGGGGTTGAAAATCTCAGGGGCACCCAGGGAGAAAAAGGCAGGGACTATGCCTGTGGCACTTCTATCATCTACCATGATAAAAATGCAAAGAACACTCCCAAAAAGATTTTTAAATAATTGCACAATTACTGCAAAAATATTCAGCAACGTCTGGTCCTAGATAGCCTTTATCAAACTAATATGTTCAAATTTTTTCTTTCCTCCTTTCTGTCTAATACCATGACATATTTGCCTACAAAAAATCAGGCAAATTCTATGTAGTCAAATTAAATAGTAAATTTCTCAGCTGGACTTACAATGGGACATTAGAAATGAAATTCAAGCTTTGTCTATACTCATCACCATGCACACTTTGGACACTTAAATGTTTTCTCCCGTGTGTATGATTTAGAAGGCTATCCTTAGTACCGAAATCATTCCCTCAGTCTGGACACTCATAAGGTTTCTCTCCTGTGTGAGTCCTCTGGTGTCTCACAAGGTGAGAATTGTTACTGAAACTCTTTCCACAATCAGAACATTCAAAGGGTTT